GTTAGCCTTCTGCTTAACAAAGGCAGCAGGTAATTTTTCAGTACCAGGATTGGACACTTACTGCATGTTTTAACAGATGTGACCATTACTTTTAATAACGTTGAACAAAACTTGAAAGAGTAGAAAAACAAGTAGTAAAGAATTAATTTAAATGTGAATAGATGCTGCAAAGGATAATAGATAAAAATGTTCTTCAGATTAAAAAAAAAACCAAACCACAGAATACTGAAGTTCTGCTAGGTCTGCTTTTGTGAGAAGAAGCTGAGTATCTTAAACCCAGGAAATGAGGGATTCCAAGTTTTTTGCCTGGTGTTGCTACAAGCCTAGCTTTAGCCAGGTCAGTTAAATCTGGAACTGAGAATTATTAGGCTTTTGTTGCTGTGCATTGCTAGGCCTAAGTGTCTTGGGGCTTTGACTTGAGGCTTTGTAAAATTACCTTTTATCTAAATTCTTTGCAAATAATTGCATTTTGGGCATTCCACGTTGCAGCTGAACAACGCAAACCAAGTGCACCTGCAGTGTCAGTACTGTCATGTTTGCAGCTGGATCCTCTGCTGTGCTGGGTTTCTTCACTGATGCTTCAGTGGTGGGCAGCTGGCTTGGATACTCTTTCTTTATTGTTTTCACTTTGAAAGACTGACATAACACAGTCCTCACTCTTTCACCCAAATCCGTGCTGCTCTTTGCTGTTCTTTAGGGATGTGCTTTTTGCCAGGGTGTCAGAAGGCTCCTGCTGTGACCTGCGGAGTGCAGGGTGCGGCAGGCAGTGTTTGGCTGCAGGCAGTGTGGCCTGGCAGCCCAGGAGCAGGCGCAGGCAGGAGAGTGTGCTGGGTCTCGGCAGGTGGAGCAGTGAGTCAGCCTCAGCCGCTGCAAGGGCAAAGCAAAAGCTTTGACCTGTGCAGAGGGGCTAAACAGCAATATCCATTGCAGCTCTGGAGGAAAGATTGGCCTCTTGGATATAAGGAAGGGAGCATTATGGTATGGCCTATGCATACAAACCTGTTTGGATTTTGTGCAAGTATCCAGAGAATTCTTAAATCTCCACTGAGATTGTATGATGTTCTTAGGATGGAAGAACATATGAGGAATCTGTCTGGTTGTGTTTGCCATATGATGATGCCTTTTTTTGATTCTCCATTCTGGGGAAGGGGTTATTTGCAAGGCACATTAAGTCCCTGTTCTGTGTTGTCTTCTCTGTGCCATGCTGTGACCCTGCCCTCCTAATATACGATGCCTTCTTTTCATTCTCCATTCTGGGGAAGGGGGTTATTTGCAAGGCACATTAAGTCCCTATTCTGTGTTGTCTTCTCTGTGCCAATGCTGTGACCCTGCTCTCCTAATATAAGTAAAGTGCTAACAGTAACAGATTGAAAATTCAGTCTCAAAAAATGAAGATGTCTTGTCTGCAGTGTAATGCTGTAATGAACTAAGAAGTTCTCTAATTTTTTATGACACCTTTCTCTCAGTCTTGAACTTCTAATTCAAATTCTAGCTGTGAGTCTGTCACAGTGCTCCTGATTTTAGTAAGTGAAATGTTCTGGTTTTATTTATGTGCTTAATTGGAGATACTCTGTGCTTCTGCTGAAGAGAACAGAAAAACGGCTTACAGGTGCTGTGACAGAAATAGGTGTGTTGGCAGAAATGGCAAATTTCAAGTAGTTGTAGTGTCTGGGGTAGAAAAGTCAGAGTGCAATCTGAAGTGAGGGGTAAGGTGTTACTGTAGGCTCTGGATGACAGTTTGGTGTTCCTTGTATTTATATTCCCCTTTCTGGTAGTCCTTGGAGCACATAGCTGGACTGTCTAAATAGCTTCTCATCTGCCACCTGCTCCAGCAGCACAAGGGGGGTTGCTGTCCTGGAAATTCCTTTGAAGCTGAGGTGGGCTTCAGAGCAGCTCAGTACACAGCAGTAGTGGTGTCACCTACCTGTGTCCTCCTCCACTCCCATGGCAGTGTTTGACCCTGGTGTAGGATCTGACTTTGAGCTGATTTTGAAACTGACACCTGGTGCAGCACCAGGATTGCTTACAAGTATTTAGAAGACCTGGAGCCTTTTGTCCATTCCACAGCAAACTTTTGGGGTTATTTTTTTTTTCTATTTGGGATCTAAATCCTCCTTAAACAGAGGGTAATACATGGCAGTGTATTACAAGGCTTAAATAGTTACCTAATGAAAATGGCTTTAGTGGCCCTGCATTCCTTGCAGAGTTGTTTATTTCCTTGTGTTTTCTGCAGATGGTGGGATAGGATGGCTCAATGTAGTTCATAGATTTGCTGTGTTATTTATAGACATTTGATGAAGTGCAGAAAATAATTGGGATATTTTCATGTAAGTCTTAACACTGGCGGTTGTAGAACAGGAAGGATTTTCTCTGGCACTGACTTGTACATCTCAATGTTTGCCTGAAGAAATGCTGGACTGTGGCACATAGACTGGTGCAAAGTGATTTGCAGTTGTATAAAGCATTGTCTTGGCAAGAAAGAGTATTGTTTATAAAAAAAACAACATAGCTATTGGGTGATGTATGGCAAGTAAAAATCTTAGTGGGGTCGTGCATCTTTCAGGGCTCTCAGCTGAAGATCTCTACAGAATGAAATTTTTCTAACAGTTTAAGTCTAGTAAAAACCTTTGTGAATGAGAAGAAAGAGGCAAGTTATTAATTTGTTTTCCTTGGGTTTTCAACCATTTGCATCCCTTTGGGAAAAGGTTAAAGAGACGTTTTGCCTTAGAGAGTCCTCCAGCGGTGGAGGGCATAGTAAACATGGGAAGGGGTTGGGTTTGGGATGGATTTGTAGCGGGGTTACTGGAAATAGGAAGAGGTTTGGGCTTGGTTTTGGTTTCCAGTTTATTTATTTTTAATGCAAAAGGTAAGTTGCTCTACTCACATCGTTCATGCATTGATATATATTTTACACATAACTGAAAGCGGCTTGCTAAAACTCATATTGCATTGCCCCACATATATATAGAAATACGTGCAAATGGAAGAATGGATTTTAATAGAAGTTACATTTTGCTACTGATCTGGGACAGGTGGGAAGGAAAAGCATCACTTATAAGGCGCCCCTCTGACACCTGTAATGCTATGTTATTGAAGGATAAAAACAGCCTGCGGTTTTGGATTTTATCTTCTTATACCAGTATTAATAAGCAATGTGGTAAGACGTATTTTATCTGGTTTAGAAGCTGTGGATTATTTTTACACTTCAATATTTAATTTCCTGTTTTATCTTTTTGACTTTCTTTTATGAACTAGAGTGTTGCAGAAAACGAATACTTTTGATGATGTCTGCCTTTAGTTTTGACTTTTCTCTGTCAGTTCTAGTTGCTGTAAAATTAGTCAAATTTGAGAAGAGAGAAACAATTGGTACATAGGAGGGACTGCATGTATTAGAAAGTTGTATTTAAATCAACAAGTATAACATTTATTTTGTTAATTGCTACTGTACATTTGGAATCCTATCTGAGTAAAAATAGTATTGGTTTGCTTTTTTGAGGCATTCATCATTGCAATCTCTGACTTCTGTGGAAGCTGCAAGATCTGAGGTGCTTTTGAAAATCTTGCCAAAGTGTCAGAGGAGGAAAGCAAAGATACCAAATTATTGCCATGCCAAGTCTTTCAGGGCAGGACAGTGTTGCACGAGGAAAGTGGCTTCATTGCCAAATGGATCATCTTTCCTTTCAGAGCCCTCCCACACTGTTCCTGCCTAATCCTCTTCTGACAGGAAAATCACTGTAATAATACAAATACCCTGAGAGCTGTGAGTGCAGATGTGGGGCATTAAAGGAAACGTTTGCTCGCAGGACTGTGGTGCGAGATCGTGTGTAATAATGATGATTAAATGCTGTGACTGCACAAGTTTATATAAAAATTTTTTTACCTTTATATTCAGAAGAAAGATGCAGGATGTTTGTTTTGGAGAACTAAGGAGTGGGAGGGAATACTCTATGAGTATTTCACAGGTTAGAGAAGAGAGAGCTCCTCAGGTGTACTTTCTATAGGATGACTGTATTCCTGTGTCACTGCACCCTTACTGCTGCTCAGAAGGCACTGCCCTAGCCTGGGACCTGCTTGACCTACCTGTGAACCACATACAGCTGAAGAACCACTGGTGCTCATCTTTGTCACTTTTACACACAGTATGACTACTGACTGAAGGCAAAAACTGTATGAAGCAGAGCTGAGGGGGAACAGCTGCTTTCTGGTACTCCGTGTAAGTCCTTTGGGCAAGGACTTATTGCAGCTATTATTTATGCAGGGTTTTTTAAAGAGTCTTTGCTTTGATGTGTTGGTACCTCATAGTTGAAGGGAAGAAAACATGAGCTTTTGCTGCTCAGATCTTTGAAAAGTGCCCAGTAAGATGCTTTGAAAAATTTGCCCAAAGTAAACTTACATGTATTGTGTTTAAGGGAGGGAGGCATATTCAACAACCATTTTCTATAGACCAGGCTGTTTTAGAAATGTAGCAGCTGAGTTTTCTGAAAGTCATGCTTCACTTAGGAAAATACTGGAATGTGTTTTTCTTGTGTCTTTGTCAGAGAGTTTAAATCAAACAAAGAATCTTGGAGAAGTAAGTCTTTAAAGATTTGAAGGGATGGGCTTTAGAGTATATTTATCCCGTTTTTAAGGAAACTGACATTTGTCTCTTCGTGTTGTACTGCAGGTTTTTGTGCTATGCCTGATGATGGGAATTAGTTCCAAATCAGGCTGATGATTGAACTGAGTCAACTTTTGTTGAGGTTTCCAAAGCATTGCACAAGAGGTTTGAGGGGAAAAAGTTTGGGGGCATGTGACAGTTAATCTCATTAGCAGTAAGAATGAAGTTTAAGCACGCTGTTCAAAATTTGCTCAGTTCTGTGCTGCTCTTTGTTTTAATTAACAATCTCCTGCATAGATTGGGAGCGTAAACTTCTTTCCGCTTTAGTCCAATCAAATCACGCTTGGAAGCTGTCAGTGGTGGGGGGCAACTCCTACCTACCCCCCCTTGTTTTAATTGTTCAGTGAGTCTGTTGAATAATGAAAGAATTTGCCTGACAGGGTTTTGTAGTGTTTCGTCTTCTTGATGAATTATTTCAGAGGATAGACGACAGTCTTTTGTTAAAAATGCATTGGAATGACTCATCCAATTCCTCAGAAAGTGACAATGAAGCTCATTCAGCCTTCACACAGACTGAGCACAACATAGTTGCAGCTTACTTAATAACAGCAGGTATGGGCATTGGCAAATTGTTGCGTAACTTTTTAAAATAGAACTTGTAAATCTGAATGCTCATTTTGTACAGTAATAGTGATGGTATTTCATTTTGTATTAGACAGCTGTCTGATGGTTTTTCTCCATGTTTACTGACAAGTTAGCAATCAGCTGCCTGACTGAAATATGCAGGAACATCTGAAGTGTGCAGAATCTAAGTTTTCTGCTCTATATTTGAAGGCAGCGTTGTGTCTCAAAAAATACATTTTGTTGATATGTAATTATAGAAGAGAGTGAGAATTAGTTTCTGCCAGCTTGCAAAATAGATAAAAATAGGGCATAGCTGTCACATCTTGCATTTTTCTGAGATGTGCTCGAAGCTATCTTGAGATTTCTCCTGGGCCACACGTTTGTACTAATATCTGTGTAGTCTGAGCATGTGAGCGGGTGTCTGTTAGGGGGATGTAAGGGGAAGGGTTGGAATGTGACTTAGAGGGAGGGAGCTGGTCATTAATCAGAGAAGAGCAGATTCCAGTTGCAGCTGTATTTTTCACCAATGACACGTGTTAGAAAAGCACGCTGTGAGGCTTCACATCATGTTTGTTCCCTGTGACTGCAGTGGTCTTTAGCTAAACTTGAATGATTATAAAATTATTCTTTTTCTTCCCTTAAAAACTTATTCATTATATCACCACAGCTTCTTCAGTAGTGCTTTACTGAAGCATTGAATGCTATAGTAATGAAATATCCACCTAACCAGAATGCAATGTTTAAAAACAGGCCTTTAATACCTTTATTATGGAAAATCAAATCAGTTTAGTCTTTATTCATTGACTGTACCACGAAATTTTCTATGCTGTAGTTAGATTTAAAAATACTTTACAATATTAATGTATTTTACATTTATAGGAAATAGTATTGCTGATGGTCGCAGTTTATTTAGCATATATGTCTGAAGTGGTGAGTATCAAATTGCTGTGCTGGAAAAGTGGGTATTTTTGGATGCAAAGACAATAATTTATATAAGGTCTTTGGAGAAATTAATAGAACAGCTACACAGAGCAGTAGGTTTCTTAAGAAGCTGTAGAGATAAATAATTGCCAAGTATTGGAAGCCTAGATATACCTCTTATATTTTTATTAAAATTGATTATGTAGTATGTAACAAGGTAATATTTTCAGATAGCTTTGACCAGCTGGTGTTCAAGATCAAAGCTATCATTGGTGATCATAGGGTATCAATGGAATTAGCCAGAATCAAGCCAGCTCTTCTTTCTTAATCTTGCATGGACATTAAATGTCATGGGAAAAAAAAAAAAAGTTGGATTACTTTGCAGTTTTAGGATTTTTTTTTTATTTTTCTACTTCTAATTATGATTGGGGGAGTCTAATAAATCTTTACTTTCTTAATGAGAAAATTTTTTGGCAATGAAGTCCATAAAGTATTTGAAAGTATGATTGATTGCTTTGCACCGGCCTTACTGCAGCAAATTTCACATCTTGAAGATTTAAGCCTTGTTAATAAGCAGAAGTGTAAGAATAAGAATGAAGTCTGGCTACAGTGTTCATCATTATTCTGCTCTTTAAAAGATTTAAGTGTTTCTCTCTTGTTTTCTGGGAATGAAGTAATTGTTAAGCATTACACTGGTCAGTGTATTCATTTTTGTAATGACAGTAGGGATGCTCAGGCTGCAGCAGGCTCTGCTGCCTCATGGATGTCTTTCTGCTTATAGTGGTGAATTCTCTGGTATAATTTTAAAATGCTAACTGGAAAGGTAAATTCCGTGTTATACTTGTATCTAATTTTTTTTACTTTGCTACTCCTATCTAACATTGCCATGTCCCACCCTAAACTATGTTCCCAAGCACCATATCTACATATTCCACGGCATGGCAACTCAACCACTTTCATGGGCAGCCTGTTCCAGTGCTTGATAACTCTTTCAGTGAAGAAATTTTTCCTAATATCCAAAAGTACTCTTCCCTGGTGCAACTTGAGGCCGTTTCCTCTCACCCTATCACTTGTTCCTTGGGAAAAGAGACTGACTCCCATCTGGCTTCACCCTCCTTTCAGGAGGTTATTAGAGAATGATAAGGTCACCTTGACCCTCCTTTTCCCCCAGCTAAACAACCCCAGCTCCCACAGCTTCTGCTCATAAGATTTGTGCTCCAGCACTTTGACCAGCTTCAATGTTCTTTTAATGGGCACTGCTTAACTGCTGCCTGGAGAAACTTCATTCATCTGCTTGACCTGTACCTCAGAAACAGAGAAGAGATCATTTCTTGTATCTACGTGCTTTTTCTTGCTTCGTTCAAGATGGAATCCATCTTCCATCTTATATTTTGTTCCTCAAAACATTCTCTTTCTTTGCTCTATTATTAATTTATTTTACTGATACTAACATTTTTAATGAATATAGGTCCCACTTTTTCTTCCCTGTTTTTCATTGCCTCCCCTTTCACCGCTTACTTTTAAGGCTGGACTCTGAATTATTTAATTTAAATGCTTCTAGAAGGATCTTTTCTTCACCCCGAGGATACAAGTTTACAGTCTTGTTGTATGTCAGATTTCATTATTGGTAGCTGTAATATCTGTTAAAACATGCCTCATAAAAAGTCTGCATTATTAAACTTCTAATTCTCCTTTGCTCCCTCTCCCCAAGAGATGACATGCTATCTGTCAACAGGAGAGCTGACAGAACTGGCACTGCATGTGGCTTTTTTACTGTGGTGTTCATTTCAAATCAGATCCTCAGCTCCTTGTTTATTTAAATTTTAGGAGTACATAGGATCAATGTCATTCCTGAAATGTGTGAGTATATGAATATGATAGATGATGACATCTGTGAGGCCAAAAAAGATTAGACCTCCAACAGGAGACGTGCACCTGAGAACAGACATCCTTGGTGGTGTTAAAAGAGAGATAGCTGAGGGGCAATTATGATTTTGCCTCATTTGATTTTAAAATTGCTGAATCTCAGGGGTTGGCAGTGGCCTTCTTGTAGATCTAGGAGCATAAGTTTTTTTATAACCCTTTTTATTTTACCAGTCACCGGCCTGAATTCTTCTTTACCGAGGAGGTCAACGCTGTACTTGGTCGCCGGAGTGTTTGAAATGTAATCCTAGATGCATTTGAATTTCTGCTCTGCTAGTTGTCATTACATCAAAAGTCTTATTGGTGCTTACTGAATCCATGTGAAGGTTGCCTAATTGGACAAGCTTTTCTCTCCTTTTCAGGTGTCTATCCTCTTTGCAAACTTGTACTTGACTGAAAAGAAATCTTTTTTGGGACTTACATGTTACAATAGGCTGCATTTTCTTCTGCATGTGTATTACTGGCTGGTGGGTACCTTTCGTAAAGTTTTCCTTTTTCTGTTTTTACAGGAGTGATAAGCATTTTCAGTAACATTGTTGTGTTAGGCATCTTTGTTAAGTACAAAGAGCTTCGGACAGCAACCAACGCAATTATCATCAACTTGGCTTTTACTGATATTGGTGTTAGTGGCATTGGTTACCCCATGTCTGCTGCCTCAGACCTGCATGGAAGCTGGAAATTCGGATATACTGGATGCCAGGTATTGCAATTCAGTTAGAGAGAAAGTTTCAGCACTTAAAAGCAAAGTGAGAAGTAAGTAATGGCTCTACCTCATGTTATTTTAAGAGATAAGGTGGAGATGCAGAATGTGACTCTGGACCTGAAGCTGATGTTCTGTGATGTCAGCAATTTCTGGAGATGGTTTTTTTGTGAATTTCACTTTAAGCTTATATTCACAATCTGAAAACATTTACGTGTAACCTTATATCTATCAACTAGACATTTTAAAATAGCTTTAAGAAGGCTTAGAAAATCAAATCCTGAAATGAAGATGGTTATAGTAGCACAGGCACATTTGATGATTTCGCTAATATCTAAATAACTTTGATTGCGTCTACTGTTTTGATGGTGAGTTCTGCTTGGCAAATGAATGTCCTTTTTGGATGGGACTGATAGGATATTCAAAGTGAAGGCCTCTAAGGTTTTTGGTCTCCATTAAAGACTTAGCCTACTTTTAAGAGCGCCTATTTTTAAGAGCAGACTGATTGAAAAGCATGCACTTCCATAGGAGAGAGATGGCGGCCTTTGCTCACTGTATATTGTGATTTTAATTTATGTAATTTATAGACTGTTGGGCTTAAGTGCTCACAAATATGAGTAGTAATGTGAAGGCATATACTGAAAATATGTCATAAGGCAAACATTTTGGACATGTATATAACAGATGCTGTCACAGTCTGAGATCACTTGCCTCAGTAGACAGTACCTTCACGGTCAAAATTCAGTCATTGTTTGGCAGGAAGTCTCACTTTTAACATCTTTGGATCTGGATTGGTTTGTGGTGTGTTCAGGTTGATGAGAGATCTCACTGACTGGAGAGTTAAGGCACTTGAAGCACAGCTCATGTCGACCTAAACCAAATGAATCCTGTGATCTGAGGTGGCTGAGTGCCATGTGGTTCTGTTATAACTGCTGGTGCTGTGTGCTCTGGCTCAGGGCTCTGTATTACTGGGGTGCCAGAGGTAACACAGGCATTCCAGTCATCCTTCCTGGTCAGGCTTCCCATGGGATGACCAGGCAGATGCATTTGGAGTATGCTGGGATTGCAGCATGTGTTGTTCTGTGCAAAAGATCTGACACACTTAAAAATGAGGGGTAAATCAGTGGGCCACATCTTTCAAATCATCACAACAGATGAAAGAGTGATAATTGAGAACCTCATGTTTGCTAAAGCCGTAACTCTTTCTGATAGACCAAATACTCCTCAGGTCTCCTTGACATATATTGATAACATGAAATAAACCCCTAAACTCTGAATCTCAAAATTTACTTATTGAAGGACAGTGTTTCTTTGATTTTGAGACTGCTGTCTTTAGGATTTCTAATGGGCACACAAGCAGGTGCTTTTGAAATGTTTACTTTCTAATGAGCTGTCTTCAAATTGCTTGCATTGAATTAAGACCTTTAAGACTTTGCTTATGGAAGCGAACTCTGGCTGAATCGTGTTGATTCAGTACACAGATTTGCGCTTGCATCTTTGAAAGATTTCTCAGAAATTATTTTCTTGCTTGTTTTAATTTCAGATCTATGCTGCCTTAAATATCTTTTTCGGGATGGCGAGTATTGGTTTGCTGACTGTTGTTGCTGTTGATCGGTACCTGACCATCTGCAGGCCTGATATAGGTACTGACATAGGGTCAAAACTCAGTCACTGTTGGGAGGAATAAAATTCTGATTTGATTCTATTGTTTTTTCATCAATGACTCCGTAGTTACAGCATTGGGCAGGACTTGAACCTACAGTACTTGGTTAAGTTACCTAGTTGGCATACTGCTCTTTAAAGTGAAAAATTCATCATTAGTCTGTTACTCTGTTTATAGATTGTGTTTTTATGGCCATTTTCAGTCTTTAGAGGGCCACATCCATGCAGAAAAGCACACAAAAATCCTCTGGCTGTGTGAGGTTTTGACCTCTATCAAGCAGGTGTGTGCCTCTGTTGTGTTAACACCCCCTGGGTGTTTTTCTGTTGTAGCAGTTAATTCCTCCCCTGCAATCTTCCAAGGATGTGCTTGAATGCTGTGTTGCATAATAAGCTTTCGGTGTGGGGTTGGGATTGGGTGTATTGGGTATGATTATCACCCATTCCAACTCAGCCTGTATGCTGAGTTGGAATGGGTGATGGTGTTCAAGTGGTCTAAAAGCTGCAAGGACTGAGATGTCAGTCAGCAGAATGAAACAGGTATGCTGCAGTGTTTGGGACTGCGAGCCTCGGAAAGGGTCTTTATTAACTCTTCATGTGCTTGCTGGAAGCCACCTGTCACTCTAGCTTGACACTGGAAAGAAGCAGCAGATGAGAGCTGTTTGTGACTGTCTGTGCCTGGCTGCAGGAAGAAGAATGACCACCCGTAGTTATGCCACTCTCATCCTTGCTGCCTGGATAAATGCCGTCTTCTGGTCTTCCATGCCTACCGCAGGCTGGGCCAGCTACGCTCCGGATCCCACCGGAGCAACGTGCACAGTAAATTGGAGGAAAAATGATGCGTAAGATTCCCCCTCATGCTTTCTTTTAACTTTCCAGGCTCACTGAAGTCTAAGATTGTTTAATTCACCGCTGTAGGAGCATAGCTTCTTTCTGAAGTATGGAGCAAAATTTTTAACAATAATTTAAAACAATAGAAATAACATAGAACAAGTCTAGCAAAAAACCCTGTAGGAGTTGAGATATGCTTCAAAACTTCAATACTTGTACTTTCCAATAAAAAAAATAGCTAAAAAAATTTTCCTTGTTATTTTAGAGCTTGTTGAAAAATGTCATAATCAAATCAAAATACCAAATTCTTTGGTAACTTTTCCAGGATGGCTATTTGTAAGTTACTCTGTTTTGTTTTTCTGTCTTATCAGGTCCTTTATTTCCTACACAATGAGTGTAATTGCTGTTAATTTTGTTGTGCCCTTAACAGTCATGTTTTACTGTTATTACAATGTTTCCCGGACAATGAAAAAATATGCCAGCAGTAACTGCCTGGAGAGCATTAACATAGATTGGTCTGACCAAGTAGATGTGACAAAGGTAAATGAGTGCATGTTTTGCTTGAAGCATGTTCTTTGTGTTAAAGTCCTATTTGCAAAGGAGTGGTGCAGGCTTATAAGCATTTAGATTTCCTACATTCCCCCTTTCTTTTATACTAAATATTAGCTGATACTGAGCCTTAGTGAAAACTCTTAGCTTGATTTATCACTCTAGATTCCTTATTTTTGGTCTAATACCCTCTCCAGATGAATAGCTACTTTGAAGGCTGAGAACATTGTGAATTTTCCTTGTCTCTCTCCTCTATCACTACCTAGAAATGTACCTTCAAGGTGCCCTAGGAGAACTTTACTGTGTGTCTGCAGAGTCCTTAGGCTTCCTGCTTGGTTCACAGATGTGTCTGGTCTGAAATGGATTGGTCAACTCTCACTTGAACTTGTGGCCTAGGAAAGAGAGTGCATTTCCAGCTCCCAAGCTGTGTAATTCCAATCCCTTGTTCTTTTCAGTCTGTTGAGCTTATCTCTTATGTAAGCAGTAGCAAATGTGAGTTATGGCATGAAAAGATATATCCTGCCTGGAAGGTTGACATTCTTTTAGTGTATAAAAGTCCTTGAGAAATCTTGAAGTTCACCAGCTCCTTTGATTTTGTGTAAAGATGTGATTTATGGTTGGGCATGATGAAAAAGTGAGAGAGAATTGGACAGAAGAGTATGTACCTATGTTTTTGAATTACTTATCAGTGTAAACAGCATTCCTTGGAAAAAACTTCTCATTGCTAAGTTCTGAAGAATAGTATTTTTACCTAAAAAGAGTAATTTGAGTGTTTTACTTTTGTGAAGAACTTTCAGAATACTTGAAACTGAGGATTCAGTTAAAAATTCAGACTCATATTTGTGAAGAAAATGCATTTTTCCTATTTTGCAGTTGAAGACACTAAGTTATAATAAAAATAAAGAGAAAAAAATAATGCTTTGGAGTTAAGCAATATCCATCTTTAGAACTGGACTACTCTCTGCTTTTTGCAAATTAGCATCCTCTAAGCTTTCTATGCACCAAACTTCTAAATGAAAGGGTTCTTACATTTTGGTATTGTGTTTGCATTGAAATAGGGATCTTCTGTGAGAGCCACTGCTTGTGTATTGATTGTGCTCTACAGCAACTCATACAAAGTAGCTGTTTATTTCTTGTTTCTCATTTTGTTCATGTCTGAAAGACTAACTGGGGGTGTAGGTGAGCAGCACTAGGGAATCCTGTGTGTATGCAGCCCAGCAGTTTTGGTTGGTTTTCTAGGGGTTTGTTTTGTCCTCTTGATTCATATGACATTTCCATTGCCAATTCATGTACCTGACAAAATCCAGAAAAGTCTGTCTCAGCTGATGACCTCTCCTACCCTCTACTACCCCCAGTTTGTCACTGTCCAGGTCTGGCTGTGGCATGGCATGTCCTGGGGTGTGAGCCCCAGGCTGCCCAGTTTGTTCTCTCTGCAGACAGGTAGAGAAGACGTGACAGCTCAGATACCTCCTCTGTATCATTCTTGAACATGTCTATGTTGCTCCAAGAATTGAACCAAGCAGAGACTTCTGGGTTACTTAACTATATGTCCTGGAACATTTGCTTTCTTTTATTTAATGGTTTCATAATTAAGCCTTATAAAACATTTTTATTCAGCGCCAAATTAAATATTTGGCTTAAATTTTTGTCTCTGTTCGTATTTATTGTTTGTAATAGCATCCCAGAGTGACTTGTTAGGGGGGTCATAATTCATGTGTGAAGTCCTCTCTGGAAATTTGAACTCCTGATAGGCAGATTTAACCGAATGAGTAGTGCTGATTTTGAAGGAATATTGCACGTAATGAAATGACACCATGCCAAAGACATGGCAGAGAGGTGTGCTATTAAATCCCCAAAGTAAGATTTCAGTGTAAACTGTCAGAATGTGTCAGGTGTGCTTGGTTATATATTGTTTAATTCAGGATAGCTCTGTTTTCACCTAGTCGTATGTGCTTTTGTTACGAGGTTTTCCTGTGAGGTCTTCATCTTGAGGTAATATTGGTTATGTATCTGTTCCTCTCATTTTACAGATGTCTGTTGTGATGATTATAATGTTCTTGGTGGCATGGTCTCCATATTCTGTTGTGTGTTTGTGGTCTTCCTTTGGAGACCCAAAGAAAATTTCTCCTGCAATGGCCATCATAGCTCCTCTCTTCGCAAAATCTTCCACATTCTATAATCCCTGCATTTATGTCATTGCAAACAAAAAGTAAGTGTTCTCAAATTTGTCTATTTCATGATTTTAGCATATCGTCTGAGTATAGAAGGATCACCTGTAAAAAATGGCAAGCTGATTAGTGAAGAGCAAAGGGTATGCCACTGTTAATTTACTGAAGATGACCTTTTGGACAGAAAAAGTAAATTGTTATGATCATCATCACAACATCCTGGATTGATACATATTTTTGAGAACATACTAATATAGCTTTTCAAAGACCCATTTGTGTTTTCTCAAGGAGATTTTAGGTTGCATCAGTAGTAGACTGGTTTTAATGACTGTGGCCAAAGTGTGTGCATCTTAGTGACATGTAACTGGTGTAGATTTTAGTATTTGATTGGGGATGTATCATATTCTAATGCATTAGGATGGATTGACCCTTTTCATTCCAGTAAATAGGTTAAGCCTATTCTGATTTCAGCAAGCATAACAAATCTGGCTCTAATCCAGCCAGTGCCTCTGACTGAGGACTGTGTTTTGCAAAGAGGCATTCTTCCCGTCTCTGCTACCAACCTTCAAGCAGAGCCTGTGATCTCTGCCTAGGTGAACATATCTGCTGAGTCAATGGAAAAACATCTGTGTTTTTTTCCCATTCTGTGAGTTCATCTTTGTTATGGCTGTAAGCTGTCCTGGAATAAACAAATGCTGCTGTGATCCCCATTTAAGAAATTAACTTTACAGTCCTACACCTGGAACTGAAAAAGACCCAGGTCCTTTTGAATTCCAAATACATGGTTTTTTATTAAGTATATTCTATTAAAATTGAAAACTGTTGTAATAGTTAAGACCATCATATCAACTTTTCCCCTTCTCTTTGGTTCTCCAGCTAATGATCTTTCTGTTTTCCCTTCCTTGCCCTTTGCAGGTTTCGGAGGGCGATCCTGGCAATGGTGCGATGTCAGACAAGGCAAGAGATAACCATAAACAATGCTTTGCCCATGAGTGTGTCTCAAAGTGCACTGACATCGCAGAACTCCAGTCATTTGCCTGCATAAATTACATGGAAAGGAGTGAAAACTGGGTTCAAGTTAATTAATCTTTTGGACAATTTCTTTTTGAATAATAATCTTTCCCAGCTAGCTGGTTTATGTGAGTCACAGTAATCTTTTTAAAGAAGCTAAGGAGACAAAATCTGCCAAGACTTTAGTTTGAGAGTGAGGTTTATTGGTCCAATATGTCTGTCCCAAACAAAAAAAGGTAGCAAAGTGGCCACTGTCACTCTTACAGAGCTAGACAAGGTGACAGAGGGGCCAGAAGAGACACAAGTGCAAATTTCTTAGGTTCAATAACCGCAGATTTTTCTTATGTATTAATTTCTTTCATGCAGTACTTTCCACCAGCTCCCCTTGAAAGTTTTCAGACTTCAAATATTCTGGATACTCCCTGTGGCTGTATATGTCCATACCAAGTCCATGTTGATATGCTTTGCAAAGTTCCGTTTCTGTGAATATGTTAGGGTGTCAAAATATCTACACTCACCCCACAGAATCTTTTATTAGGTTTTAGGGTTTTGAAGGAATTTCAGCATATTTAAAGTATTTTTAAAAATTTGACTGGTAGAACCAAGTTAATTTGTAGTAAAGACAGCTTTTGTTTTGTAAGTAGCATGTTTCTAGTGCTTGTGACTGCACAGCAAGTCCTGAAAATGTGACAAATGTACCCTAAAGCTTCTCACTTGGGAGGTGCATAAAACTGAGTAAATATTTATGGTAATTTCTCATCACTTCTGAGTCAATCTTATGTTTATGTAGGTCTGATGTTTAATTTTCAAGAAATAACTTTGTCAGTATGAGTAATGGATTTATTCAGGGTGAAAAAGATGACTGTATAGATTTAGCTTCAACTATTATGTGTTTGTGCATATGCAGTTTGGGTTTGCAGTGTAAAACTTAAACCATTTATGTATTTTTGGCAAAACCCTGTTTTTACGGGATTTTTTGAAAGCTCTGGAATCTGGGCTTCCTATTAATTTGCCATTTTCAGTATTAAAGAAAATGCCAAGCAATGTCCTCATGGTGTACTAGATTTCCTTCAGGAACCTTGGAACACTTTATAGACAGTAAAATATATGCACTGCCTCTTAGGAGAAGAAAAGAGATATTTTATTACACACTAACTTTACAATCTACATATTAAAACAACCTTGGAGCATGGTTGGATGTGATTTGAAGCAGAGTGTGTTCTGACAGACTAAAGAGTGAGCTGCTTTAACTGATGGCATTCAGGATACATTTGAAGGTTAAGCAACCACAGATCTGGGCTAATCTGTTGTAATCTGCTGTTACTAAATGGTTGGCTACATTCACATTTGTAGCACACTGCACATGAATGCCTAGGAATAAAGCCTTCACATTTCTTCATGTCAGTTCTTCTGGGAGGAAGCCATGTATCTGTTTATTTGCTTCTATCTCCTAATGAGTTTTTTTGAAGAAATTCATGGCTTTTGTCCTTCACAATGCACTTGCGTTTACCATGGCAGAAGTGATGGCACTGGAACAAGGTATATATTTTATTTGTTATATAGGGCCATTTATGAGGAAAAGGGTTGAAGAAATTGGAGATAACATTCTCAGACATTGCAAATTATTTCTAGAATAGCTGCAATGAAGGCATATTTTACATTAGCATTCTATGGCTAGCAGCATTCCTGAACAGGAGCAGATGGTGATTATGGCTTTGTACTTAGCAAATAGCTACTCTAAATCTTCATTTTTTGCAGGTGGCAATTTCTTTCTGCTCCATGACATTCCTACTATTGTAATGTCCTTTCTATTTCCACAAACTACTTAACTAGTGTAAGATGATTCTGGTTAAATAAATACAGTACTTTTTTAATCTGCAGTAAATTATGTAATTTGTGATAGTAAGGAGGTTAATTTGAAATGTGGTGACCTGGTATTGCCATGTCAATTTTAGGACATACTCTTTGTCATTGCTATTTATTGTCACAGGCTATCTGGAATAAAGCTGCATGAGGAACAAGTAGAATAGAGGAATAATCTAGAGAAAAGGGGGAGAAAATTAAGGATAGACTTACTGAAGGCAGAGAATTCTTCAAGCTAGGATGTGTAAGCAATATACCCCGAAGAAATTGTTTCCTGAAATCCAATAACTGAAAATGCTGAGAAATCCCATTTCACTGAAATCATTGTGAGCAGAAAGTTTTTTTTATCTCTATAAAGCAAGTAATTTGTACATAGACATCAACAAGAGGGCCAGAAAGCTCTTCTTTACTAAATTTTCTTTGGTATATTTTCAATTTTCAGTCTATTCCAAAAGGTAAGTATGGAAAATACTTTGAATCTTCATCATACAGAAAAAAATAGAGATTAATAATCTTAATTTTGAATTTTAATATTTTTAATTAAGGGGCATGCATTTCCCACTTAAGATACATGCATGTATTATTCTTTGTACAATGGCTTCTGTCTTTCAGTTGTCACTAGAGTGAGGGGTGGATAGATGGTGGTGCTTATATACTTTAGAATAAAGCAAACCTAGGTTTCATGTGAAAGGATCAGGTCTGATTTTTATTCTTTTTCTCTTTAGAATCTCCATGTTTGTGGAGTTTGTTCAACTTTTAAATGCAGAGGACTGTTCTTGATTTCCGTGTTCTTTGTTCTGGTAGTAGTGTTGCAGAAAGTTACAGCATTTGCATTTAAATCTGAAATTCAAATTTCTGGTGAATAAATGCAAATATGTCTCTCTCCCTCTTTTTTTTTTTTTTTTTCTTTTTTTTTTTTCTTGTTGCTAGATCTGTACTTTGTAATGACCCTGACATGTACGAGATCCCTGTGAATGTTCCTGTGGATACTGTAAAACTGCGTATAGAGAAAACTGTCATACGAAGGATTCCCACTGAAGCCTTTTACTACCTGGTAGATCTCAAATACCTGTGGGTCACTTACAACTGTGTAGCCAACATTGATATCAGCAGCTTCTACAACTTGAAACAGCTGCACGAGCTGAGGCTGGATGGTAATCTGCTTTCAACTTTCCCTTGGGAATCCCTGGCCGAGATGCCCAACTTACGGACTCTTGATCTCCACAACAACAAGTTGACCAGCATTCCCGCTGATGCTGGCCGCTTCCTGAGAAACCTCACCTACCTGGACCTATCCAGCAACAAGCTGACCACCTTGCCATCAGACCTCATGGACATTTGGCCCCCCTTCTCAGGAGCTATCGTGTCCAAGAGCACAGACATTCTGGTGACACAGAGAGTAATCTTGGGTATGTTGAACAGCCTGTCTCATTCCTTACCAAAATATACCTGAACATGAAATTGCAAGTGAGAACAGTTAGGAGACTAGCCTAGGATTCAGGAGAGGGGGTTTTACCCAGGACACTCTTGTGGTTTGCTCTGTGGTAATTTATTTATTTTCTACTGGTAACAGAAAACCATGAAATGAAGATAGTGAACTCCATGTGTGTTGTTACCTCAAAGCTATAAAACTGAAGTAAAAGCTATGAGAATCCAGATTGCAGGAATACAGTAGCTACAGAAGTAGTAGGATTGCAGGCCATTCAGTAGCTACAGAAATACAGGACTTACATTGTGTTTCTGGAGACATTTCCCTCATCTTTGTACGTGTTTGTAAGCATGTCCATTTGCAACTGCTTTGTTCCAGAGGCTCCCAAGCCAAGCCAGCAGGTAGAGCTGATGCTCTTATGGAGTCTGTCCTGTGACACAATGCTGCAGATAGTGTTGGTGGCTTAGAAGAGGGCAGCTCTGGTCTCCCTGGGACCTCTGCTGACCTTGCGTTACTCTAAAGCTGACTGATAATCCTGAAGTCTTTTGCAATTTACATATTGAATATGAGAGAAAATAGGAGTATGATCCCTATTTATTAATTTTATTTTTTATAAAAGTGTCTAAGGTAAGTATTTAAGAATAATTTGGTCTGACTCTGATTTTTTTCATAATTTGATCCCCTTCTCTAGCATGCAATTGCATCAGTTCTGTTTGTGACCTTGTGCTTTATCTGACACTTTATCTCCACTTCCTAGTCTTGCCAAGGTAACCCCTTTCTCTTCTTCAGTCTCAAGATGGAACAGTTCTATCAATACTGTTCTTCTCTATCACTGTTTACGTAGAAGAGCATAATTTGATGTGTTTGTAGTGCAGCAGGTGGAAGGGAGGAAAACCAGCTGGCTGTATCTACTGCAGTAATTCTATAAGCACTGGTAAAGATCTGTCCTACATTGTATTGCCCAATATTTCCAATTTCTTGATCTAAACTCCCAATATTCAGTGTCCATTTGTTCAGCTGTTTTGTTTCACAGCAGAAGCTGCAGCTTGAACTCTCATTCTCTTATATTTTATATAAGCAACTTAATAGATGCAAGTAGGCTGCATGACTTCACAAGTATGGCTAAGCATGCATCATTAAAGATTTTTTATTTATTCAGGACAGAAAATAAAAGAGTGAAAATGTAAAAGTAAGTCTTTCTCAGTACTGCTTTCCCTGTCCCCACACTGAAGACTACAGGAAACTGTAAAGTGGGAGCTGATTGTGCTAGATCTAATCCTCATGATCTCATGTGGGAGTCCCAGAGATTAATTGGTTTCCTTGTCTTACATAGCCCTCACCACTTCAGGCAAAATAAAATGAACTGAGAAAATAAAATAACCCCCAACACAAAAAAAAAGCACCAAAAAAATATTGAACCCTCACACACTCCTCTCTCCCCTTAACTCTGGGAATCATCTGCACGCTTCCTTGGTGCAGGCACTTTTCCAGCCTCCTGTAGTCCTGGCAAACCCTCTGATGCCAGCATTGAGTTCTTTGAAGGCTTGGGATGTGACCTTTGGACCATTTTCTGTTATGAACTACAGCTGGGTTTTAACACAGGCCTCCAGAGAGGAGCACACACTGGTTTAAACAGAACCTTGCTTCTCCTTTTTTCTTTTACTGTTAGGTGCTAAGTGAGGCTCTGTGCAGCCGTTATAGATTTGCACCTGAGAATGCAAAATGCAAGGTGGTACTTTCCTTGTGTTATATTGAGTAAATTTACCTTGGGTAAGTTGTGACTCAATTAGCTGAATTATTTTTTTTTCATGGACATCATAGTTTTCCTATGAGTTTATCCCAATGCAGACAGACAGTGCTTGCTACATAAGAAACTTTATAGTGAATAAGAAAACATCCCCTTTCTCTGGAGATTAGAAAGATTAGAAAGTGCAGTGCTCTTTATGTCATGGGTCATTTTGCCAAGTTTACTTAGACTCCATTAGGTATTAGTGCTTCCCTTCTGATGGCCCTCCTTTCTCTACTGGCCTTGCTGGAGCCTGAGAAAGAAGTGCATCCCATAGATATCCTCCTTCTCCTCTGAGCTACAGATAGGGATTACAGAGATACGTGGTCAGGAAGGACCTAGCCTATGGGGATACAGATCCAGAGGAGCTGAGCCATTCTGGTAAAGTCTGTGCTGTTCTTAAAGCTGTGGCCAGACCACCCCAGAGCCTTCCATGGTCACCTCCTGCAGTGCTTATCTATCAGGGTAGTGAGAAAGTTTCTGCTAATATCCAACCTCAATCTCCCTTACTGCAAACTAAGCTGATTACCTCTTGTCCTACAGGGCATGGACATGCAGAAAAACTAATCACCATCTCTTATTGTAAGCTTTCATAGGTTTTCCTTCCCTGTTTGCCATCCTAACCATTTCTTTCACACTATTTCTTTCACCAGCTTCTAATATAACGTGAAGGTTTTTTGTGGTTTTTTTGGTTGGTTGGTTGGTTTTTGGTTGATTTTGTTTGGTTGTTGTTTTTTTTTTTTTGTTTGTTTGGTTTGGTTTTGATGGGTTTTTTCATTTGTTTGGTTTGGCATTTTTTTTTTTTTGCTGTGTGTGGTATTTTTATTTTATCTTCATTTTGTACCATAGTTATTGGTTCCCTTTCAACACCTTTAACATTTTTTAAATCTAATTTTAAGGTTTCCCTTAAAATGTAATGCCCACAATTGCACACTTTGATGCTCCAGCCACTCTCTTGGGGGAGCATTCAGCCTGACCTGTGTACCTACATGGAATGATCACTGCAGCCAGAACTCTGCTGGAAGCTGAAACCCAGAGTAAATAAATGCTGGTTTTGTCTAGTCAAGAACGCAGCAGTCAGATTCTAATTAGTATAATCAATTATGACTTGAGCTGTCTTCTGGTTCTGGCAAGACAAGATTGTCATGTGCATGTAATTAACAAGATCAAAACCAGCAAGGCCCTAAACTCATATGTTTGTGCAAATGTATTTTTTAACACCAGGAGGCAATTTTATCTTTGGTGTCTTGACTGAGCATCAAGAAGGCTGCTCCTATGAGAAAGTTCTGGTTCCCCTTGTTTGCTTCAAAGTCTTTTGGAGGAGCCAAAGGCTACTTTTGCCAGAGGACTGGCATGTTAACATTTCCTTATTCCAGTTCATTATCTCTGTACTAAGAGGTTTGGGTTTTTTAACTACTTCCCACTGCATGATGTTCCTCTGTGTGTGCACTATGCTAAATGAAAGAGGGTTAGGGAAGGATTCTTGGCCCTTTGGCCAAGTGGTTCACTCTGGCTCTTATCCACACAGTTTAGGGGCAGCTCTCTTTAAAGCTGACTCTCTGTTCTACTCTTTGTAAGATTTAGCCCTTGGTTCTTTGTGGGCTCTACAGGATGCTACAGTGACTCTCAAATGTAATTCTGGGCATGGAGGTGTTTTTTCTTCAGTCTGACCTGTCTGAAGTTATGTGAGAATTGCATTGGAAATCATTCATCTATGCTTTTGGAATATGAAATAGCAGGGGTATGTTGTATGCCTGAAGGGCTGACAGATACGCAGAATAGTTTGGAGGTACAAAACCTGCTGCACTTTGGGGGAAACAACAGGATAGAGAGAGAGCCATCCTTGCTGTGGTCTCATTTATAAACTTTTCAGTGAGCAACCCTGGAGTGCCTGCTGTCCCTGGGCCCATGTCTGGCTTTGTCTTGGAAAGCTTGCTTGCCCTTTGGGGCAGCTCAGAACAAAGTTCTGGAGTGAGTTGAAAGTTAAACATTACAAATGACTGGGGGAGCAGTGTGTGAATTCCTCTGGCCCTCTTGGTTACCTCTGGAGCCATAGCCTGATACTTTGATCCAAATCACAACTAAATTCCAGCCCTGGCTGCTGTGCAGAGATTTACATTTCTGGCAGGAATGATGGCAGTAGCATTTTTCATGTGGGGAAATCTAGTGAGTCCCTGAGAGGAACAGAAGAGTCCGGTATTTGACAGAGTGGCAGTTATCTGAGATCTTGCTTCTGTTGCATGCAGAGGTGCCAAAAATTTGGAATACTGCAGGTCCATCAGGCTTCCACCTCTTATGCTGAGCCACTGGGTAGATATTGCTTTTCCTGAAACTACTCCCTTAGCAACTGGCATGTGGTGAAAGTACTGTGACAGTGTTGGATTTGGAATTCACTGTTTAGGACCATGGATCAAAATGTGTAGGTTCAGTTGGAAAGAGCCTGGGGTAGTCTGACCCAAGCTGTGGTGAATATTTCTATCAGCCCAAAACTTGACATCTTGCTATTTTGCAGCAACTAAAAATCAGTGGGTTACACAAGTTTATGGTCTGAATCTGGTTACTGATTTACAAAGGAAATTTTGCTCATAGCTAAAGTCCATATTGACACAGTCCAGGGAAACCTCGCTTACTGAGAAGACTACAAAAATGTGCATGCACAGACACACATATACATATAAGTTTGACATTGTATGTGCAAGCATACATATGAATGTGTGAGAGTAAATATAAAATATGCTAAATTTAAAATAAATGGTTTTAGAACAATTTATAATTAATAATTAATATTAAAATAGCACTGCATTGGTATATAGCAATTAATAAATATTTATCAATGTTTGTTTTGCCTTGGCTAGTATTCTTTCTCAGATCAACAAGCTGCCTTGATATTTCTACAAAAGAATCCAGGGTTTATAAAGACATTCTCTTTCCTCAGATATGTGTGCCATCAGAGATTTATCATTATTTTCATTTTTGCTACTTAAGAAATTATTTCTTTTATTAAAGCTCCCTAATCTTTTCCATTTTCTAATTCCCCTCCCCCCCCCCTTTTTTAACCTTTTCTTTATTTTTTCACGTTTGTTCTCACTTCTAACATCTTGTCAGTACAAACTGTTGAATGAAGTTCAAAATGCTCCTTGTAGCTTGGAAAATAGGTTTATAGTCACATTTCTGTTCTCTTCAACACTGAACTATACTGAAATTCAGTGTTTTATCTTGCTTCCAGCTCAATAGTGCTTTCATGTTTTTGAGAATTCACATAACTTGGTGATTTACAATGGCTAGAAATAGTGTGAAGACTGTCAGATATTGGCAAGACACAGATAAACTGAGGGGCTGTGCTGTGGGGGCAAGGAAGGAACACATGTAGCTGTGTCTATTATATATATTTGTGTAAATCCTGCTTCTTTAGGCAGTTTCATTGGGAAGCATGATGGATGGAGAAGATGAAGGGCTGACTGACATAACTCTTCCTTTGCCCTACACTCAGATGGTCAAACCTGTGTCCCAGGCTGGACTGAACAGCCATCCAATCTAAGGACTGTTCACTGTTGCTTCATCATTCCTTTCATTCTGTCAATTTATGATACCTATTATAATGACTTTGGCCTTTCTTCAGGACACTGGGACAATATGAAAGCTGTGTAGGTATATATATTAGGAAAAGTTCCTTCACTGAGAGGGAGCTCAGGGAAGTGGTGGAGTCACCATTCCTGGAGGTATTTAAAAGACAAGTAAATGTTGCCCTCAGGGTCATGGTTTAGTGCTGGACTTGGCAGTGCTGGGTTAGCAGTTGGACTTAATGGTCTTAAAGGTCTTTTCTAATGTAACCATTCTTTTGTTCTATTTCAAAGGTTTTGAGTGCTTCAAGCAGGTTAAAAACAATATTAAACCCTTCCTTTCCTGCAATAAATTTCTCAACATAGTGAGGAAAATTGCAAGAAAATGAGAAGAAAAAGAAAATTATCAGAGTATTCTGTCTGACTACAGAGCTTCCCTAATTGAAAAGATGAGCACAAATAGTTACAAACATGTGCTTGATTGAGCAGAATTTCTATAAGCACAAGCAGTTGATGTACCTAGATATAGAAAACACTTGGATAGTATATTTTCTCCTTTTGAATATGTGTGTGAAGTTCACAGGCAAAATTTTTAAGTTTTGGAGACTTTTTTTAGGAAAAGCAATTGTTGATACACTTTCCTTTGACTTCTTCTCTGTTTCCCACAAACAATAAGTAGTGAATAGATGTAAAATCTCTTCTGTCTGGAAGGGGTGAAATTGGATTGTGATGTCAAAGTCAAGGAATCTCTTCAGGTCAAGTGTTGTTTTAAAGAGCAGGGATTAATTGAGGTTTACCATAGTTTTAACCAATCACTACCATTGTGCTTAAAATAACCTAATCTTGATCTGGTGATAAAAGGAAGAAGTAGTCAAAAATTCATGTATTCTTTCATGTGCAGGTTTTTCCAGAACAACCCACTATTTTTCCAGTAGCTGTTTTGATGATTCTTAAAATTACATTCTGAAAAATATTTGCAGGTGGTCAGGGCTCTTTTTTCTTTCAACACTGCTTTGGCTTATATGACTTGTTTATTGTACTGATCAGTAAATTCACTAGCAAAGGGTCCTTGCATAGCATCCCTTGTTTCAGACCATAAGTTTTGTTTATTAGTAGTACTTGAAGAAAATGAGAAAGGCATATTCAAAACTATGAGTCCACTAAGAAAATACGTGAACTCCTGAGTGATATGCTGTATTGTATTTTACCTGGTGAAGCCACTGTTGTTCTGTGAAAGTCATCATAGTGGGGTAATCAATACCAGCTGAGGATTTAGACTGATATTCCTCAGAAGTGGTTAATCTCTTCCAATGCCATAAATTTACAAATAGGGAAAAGTTGCTAATTCATATACTGGAAAAAGCAAATGTTATTGACTCTGACAGAAGCAAATATTATTGGTTTTGACAGAAGAGAGATAGGGTTCTTGTGTGCCATCATAAAAATATTGTAGTCATTATGGTGTTTTGTGGGCCTTCCTATTTTCTACTCTTCTGTTATTCTTCTTGAATATATTTCAGAGGCTGTAGTGAAGCCAGCTTCTAACAATATTCGTGTAGTTCAGAGCCATATAAAAATTTTGTTGGCCTAAAACTTTTTCTCCTTAGCCTGTATCCCTTTTTCTCAAGGGGCAGAGATGTTGGGTAAGCTTAAACCCTTAAACCATTGTATTCTCCTCAAGTATTGAAAAAAGAGTCGGGGAAGGTCAAGCTGTAAGACCCTAAAGAAGGACTAAGAGGAGAGGAGAGTGACACAAAGCAAAGAGAAGCTGTCTTTCCAGGAGGCACAGGCAGGTGAAAATGTATCATCAGTCTTAAGACATCTTTTCAAAGTGGTTTTGAATGTGGTAGATAAATAACAAAGTTAAGCACAAGTAACGCCAGCATATCAAAATGCTCCCATAGACTTCTGTGAAGAAGTAGTTTAGCTTAATAAACATTTATACTGTTCTCCCTAACCTCTGAGAAAATTCCCCCACCAATCAGCTGAACAAAAACCACAAGTTGAAAGAGAAAAGATTAACTCAGAATAGGTCCAGGGTTGTCCTTGTTTGTATTTGGTGGTAGTCATGTGTCATACTGTAATCACAATATCCATATATTGACTGACAACTTTTTTTTTTCTTTCCCTACTTCCCTCCTTGCCTCAGGTTTTCAGGACAACCCATGGTTCTGTGACTGTCGCATTTCAAAGCTAATTGAATTTTCCAAAATTGTGGACACCTCCGTTGTACTTCTTGATCCATTGGTTTCATGTAGTGGACCTGAGAGCCTGGCAGGAATCTTGTTCCAGAGAGCTGAGTTGGAGCAGTGTCTTAAACCATCTGTGATGACCTCAGCAACAAAAATCACCTCCCCACTGGGCAGCAATGTCCTGCTACGCTGTGACGCCACGGGCTACCCAACACCACAGCTCACTTGGAATAGGTCAGACAATGTTCCAGTGAACTACACAGGTATAACTGCTCTTTTATAGGAAATGGGAGAAACAAACATTGTTGGGTTGCTTGTGCTTTGAGATCATTGTAATGAGTAATAATGGACCATGTATTGTGTCAAGCTGGCAATCGTATCTGTGCAACAGCTGTTATGGAATTCTCTGTCTAGTTCTCGGTCTTAACAGGTCCAGCAGACTGTTTTGGTTGTGGATGTGGTCTGTTACAAGAACAATGTGTGTGGAAGGGAGAAATGGATGAAGTGGGGGAAGGAAAGGGAAATGGAGTTTGGGTTAGCTGGACCCCAACTCAGAAGCTAGAAAGGAGAATTTTTTGCTGGAACTTCTGTTTGAAAATGTTCATGTTAAAAAAGGCAGTAAGGCCATAACTGAGCAACTTAAAACTCAGCATTATAAACACAGAATTTTCCAAATTCATGTTTTCTGTGTGCAATTGATGCAAGGCATCATTGTCTGACATCATTCTAGCTGCTATGACAGATACTTATGTAGTAACTTAAATGTAAAAAATGCTACTTGCTAATGCCAAGTAGTTGTCAGTCATCATAGGTCTGATGAAGGTAAGAGAACTGAAATATCTTAGGACATAGGAAATTTATGATAGCATTTTAAATGGGTAGCATGGTAAGTGTCACAGGAAGTCAGTGGGTCTTGTATTTAAGAGTCAATAGCAGCTTTAAGACATTTGATTTCACTTTATGTGTTGTTTTTCTTAGTGAAACTACAAACTATATTCTAATTACTCTAGACATTTATTTCCATTTTGACCCAAGCTGAGCATATTTATTTAATGTATGAGTATGGCTTGGAATTCCATAGTTTGTTTTGGAAATTTGGGTTGATTTTTTGTGTTGTTGTGGTTTTTTGACTGCTTGTGTTTCATTTTTGAAATTTCCGTACACGTAATTCCTTCTGGCAGAAAGGTAAGAAGTATTCTAATAATGTTCCTCTTTACTTCCTATTCATAATGTTTTACTCTTTGCCTTTTCCCATAGTAATTCAAGAAAGTCCTGGAGAGGGTGTCAGGTGGTCCATAATGAGCTTGACAGGAATTTCTTACAAGGACGCAGGAGAATACAGATGTAAAGCCAAGAACTTGGCAGGAATGTCAGAAGCTGCCGTGACTGTCACAGTGGTTGGTGTAGTTACTACAACTGTGTCACCACAGAAGTTTGGGAGGAAGCCAGAGGCTGAGAGGCAGAATACAACTCAGGAGGAATCCAAGCAGGAGCCTGAGAGGACAACCACACCTCTTCCCATCACACCAACCACCACAGCTCTGGTGAGTACTGAAAGATCAACCAGCATGACATTTACTGACAAAAAGCAATCCAGGCTCATGTTGGATGGAAGGAAAGTTTCAAAGGCAGTGACAAATGGAAACAGAAAGCAGATTGGAGATTCAAGCAAGAAAGGTGAGGATACTTCATTGAACACAGCAGGTGTGGCTGAGCAAAATGTTACTGTGAAGAACCTAAGAGTGATCAGTGAATCTGATGAAAGAGTGACCTTAACTTGGAAAACTGTCAATGCCACAGGTAATTCCGCTGTGACTGTGTTATACTCCAAGTATGGTGAGAAAGACATGTTGCCTCTCAGCACTGATTCTAACAAAAACAAAGTCACAATCGATGGTTTGCAACCTAGTACTCAATATATGGCATGTGTCTCACCCAAAGGCGTGCCGCCTACAAAAGAGCAGTGTGTTGTTTTCTCCACTGATGGGTTAAATGATGAAAGCAGCTCTGAGTTTTCTATCCTGATAGTGGCCAGCAGTGCAGCATGTGTGGTTGTTTTACCTTTGATATTTTTCTTACTCTACAAAGTTTTAAGACTTCATTTGAAACCAAAGTCTGCAAAGGAAGCTGAACTTGCAAAAGAGACTTACGTGCAATTTGAAACACTGTCTCTGAAGCCTCGAACGCTGAGTGCAGGAGACCAGCTTTGGGCACGAAGGTACACGGATGAGTCAGAAAGACTTCTCCTTTGCTCTAGATCAAGCATGGATTCTCAAATGACCTTCAAAAGTGAGGGCTCCAGGTCTGAGTATCTGTGCTGAACATGGGTGAGGGTGGAGATGAAATAAATAATAGGTGTAATTAATTCAAAATGGTGATGCTGCATCTGGAAGCAGGTTGATGCTAGATGGTGGTCAGAACATGTTATCTGGTGTAATAGAGTCTTACTGGATGTTGGTGGGTAGGAGGGGGAATAGAAGAAAAATGTTGCCTGTTTATTTTCTTATTTTTTATGTTTGTGATTTTGGATATGAAGGAGTGATGTTCTTCTAAAGAAAAATACAGCATGGAATGGCTCTATGGTTAAAGGTATTTTTTGGTTTTATTAAAACATTGTCTTCTCTTCTCTTCTCTTCTCTTCTCTTCTCTTCTCTTCTCTTCTCTTCTCTTCTCTTCTCTTCTCTTCTCTTCTCTTCTCTTCTCTTCTCTTCTCTTCTCTTCTCTTCTCTTCTCTTCTCTTCTCTTCTCTTCTCTTCTCTTCTCTTCTCTTCTCTTCTCTTCTCTTCTCTTCTCTTCTCACCTGTTTATTTTCTTATTTTTTATGTTTGTGATTTTGGATATGAAGGAGTGATGTTCTTCTAAAGAAAAATACAGCATGGAATGGCTCTATGGTTAACGGTATTTTTTGGTTTTATTATTATATTCTCTTCTCTTCTCTTCTCTTCTCTTCTCTTCTCTTCTCTTCTCTTCTCTTCCTCATTTTACCACATGGTGTGCTAGTGGCATGTATCAAACATGAATCACAATCTTCTTGAAAGCTATGTACTTCAACATAATAGGAAAACAGTTTTGACTTCTATTGTGATCAAAACTTTTTTTGGATATACAAGTTTTCTTCTGACATCAGCTTGTGCTTCGAGGTGTCATAGACCTGTTTGTACGGTATCTTGGGTTGAAGTATTCTCAGGCCAGTCAAGACAGAAGTCACAGTTTATGGGCCCTTGAGAGGTACAATACACGTAGTATTGTCATTTTGCAGATGTTATTGCAAAGGGCAAAGAAGCTTCTTTAGTGTCCTGAAGCTCAGGAAAGCTGAGTAACTGAGAGACACTAGATAATTATATTAACTTACATCAGATGATCTTATTGCAAAATCTCAGCCTTAGAATTTACTTGGATGTGTCTGTCTATATACCTCAATTTCAGAAATCTCTGTACAGAAAATTCTGTGGTGCTGTGCAATACAACAAACACTCTTATATGTAAATATATGACACAGATGTTGCACAGTATTATGTACTACACTGCAGTAATATAATACCTTTTGATATAAAGTAATAGGAGTTTTTGTCCTCAGGGCATGTTGAATGTGAAATTCAATGAACACAGTGAAAGTTAATTGTGATTGTGCTTCCCCGTGTTTAAAAATCAGGAATTAATAGTAACAATGAATTCAGAATTGTCTGTTAATGATAATAATGAATAGTCTATTCTGAGGTTTCTTTTTTTAATGCCTGAAGTAAATAAGTGAACTTTTGTTGTTCTAGGTTCAGATATTATTTTACAAGTATGTATGAATTGTGAGCCACAGTTTTTCCTGAAAATTACAGCTGTGTTGTTTTCTTGGACCTTTCTATGCCTACAGAAACTGTTTTTTTTGATAGGAAATTGGGAATTGACATTTTCCAGAGGGAGAAATATTACTCAAAACTACAAACCAAAGCTTAGTTTGTCAGCTTCAAACAGTAGCATTTCTCATTGTCACTAACGTAGGATGAAATTTTGCCTGCTGGAATGCTGACAAGCTTATCTTGTAAGGCATAGCTTGGTGAGAGGTGTCAGAAAGCCTCTGACACAAAATCATGGCAGGAAATGAACACACTGAAAAATCTCTGTAGCACCTACACCATGGTGTCCAGTGACCAGGATTAGCAAAATGAGTATTTGAGACTATGGGAGCTGTAATAAAGAAGCAGATGGGATGTTCAAAAGTGCAAAATTAACTTGCCTGCTTAGAATTATCCTTGGTGTTCCTTTCTGTGTTACAAGTATGTGTGGTGAAAAATCAGTCTTTCTTCTTTTTCCATGAATAATTTTGATTGCAATGAAAATGGTTTTATCTTTCTAACCCTACTTTGGCAGGGTTTTTGTTTTTTGAAATTTAGGATTTTTTAGGGAAAAGAGATTCTCTGTGTGTCAAAACCAAGGCTCATCTGACACATTAATGACAAAGCAGATTTGTGCAGGACCTGAAGTGTTACAATATTTGCCTTTGATTTTCCTGACAGGCAGTGTAAGTCGGTAGTTGTTGAAGGTGTTTCCTGTTAAAAACACCATGGTTTTTGTTAATGAGAGCAAGTGTTTTAACTTTTTTTTCCTGGAGGGTATTTGATTTCAGGTTTCAAAGCTCTAAATCTAATTCTGAAGTCCAAAATTGATATCACCTGACTTGCAGGTGATACATCAATATATGGAACTGAGGTGGTGCACAGTTCATTGGAGAGAGCTCACTTGTGAGTGTCAAATCTTTGGGTTTGACTAATCCTTGTGGAATTAGCATGTCCTAAAGTTAGAAATTAATCTCTGGCCACATGGGCTATCAGTGTATCAAAGATGGAATTTACTATCAAGAGCATGTTCTTTCAAGAAAACATGTTATGCATTATTTTTTCCGCAGTTCTCAGACATGCTTCTGTAACTCATGTCAAAACACCAAATGTGCTGGGGAATTTTGGCAGGAATTTGACACACAGGGCAAATCCCACAATAAAGACATTTGCACTGTATCACCCAGAGTTGGTTTAATTAAAGTGCTGAAGAAATGCTTTGCTAACAGATGTTAATTTTTTATATTGTCAATTGTTAATGATGGAACAACTGTGAAATAGATTTTGTCACCCATAATCATTTGTCTAATGTCTTCTGAAATGCAGCACTGGATCAAGCATTGGTATGAACAGTGAGGACTATAATCTGTGTAGGAAAATTCGGAGATTTTAACCTCTGTTTATGTGTCGCCTTTCATATATTTTTCACTTTGTTTTCTGAATTCATCCTGCTTTTCCCAAAAAGGTTAGACATCTTTTTATATGTTACCTACAATAGATGTGTCAAAACGGAATGGCTAATGAAATAACTGAGTAGTGAAATAACTGAGTAATGTGAGCTGAATTCTAAGTAAACCTCATTTTTACTTAGAGTTTTAGTGAGCATAGTACTTATCACAATACTTTTTAGTACTTGTCATATTAAACCATAATCTTGGCTTCAATGTGCACTTACTAAGCCAAACTTAAGTCATCTGTGCATCTATTTTAGTCCTTGCCATTGCTCACAGTGGGCTTAATATTCCTTGCACCATCATCAGATTCTCATCCTTTTCTCAGGGAGGGAATTAAGAGAGAAAACTCTTTCATGTGTAACATGAGAATGTCTGTAATAGCAAAACCATTCACACTTGGACTTTGTCTAGGGGGCTAAACAAAGAATATTTCAAACTCAATACCTTTTCAAAGGAGTAAGTAAAACAGAAGTTGTTTCCATGTGAAAATAAAAAATTGTTTTTGTACAAGGCAGTGTGTATGCCTGACCCTTTTGTCTTTGTTTATAGCTTTAGACAACATGTGATGAGTGTAGCTGTGGGGACAAAGGGAAGTCTGAAAAGAAATGAGAGAAAACATAGGAAGAAGGCGAGAAAGGTGTGAAGGGTGATATCCTAGAGAATTCTGTGACTGTGTGCCACAATATCCTTTACTTGCAATTCTGCCATTTACATGGCAAGGGTGCTGCGGCATCTGCAGACAGGTAGCTGTAAAATGATGGATGAAGGTACTGCTGGATTATTGCAACGATTGGAGCTCTACACATCTAGCTCAGTTTTGACAAGGTGGGGACAGCTATGAAACTGGAGTGTGGAACAATGGCACCGGGGGAATTTGAAGAATGCACTTGAAGCTGGTCTTGAAGTCTGCCTGTGCCCCAGTGAAAGTTCTGAGAAGTTTTTGGAGACCACTGCCTTTAAACTGAAAAGGGATGAGCAGGTAGCTTGTGAGTCTATTGCAAAAAAGAGGGGCATGCATCAGCAACAGGTCTGGAGAGGCTCTGTAACCAAGATATAATATACTACAATCATCCATCTTGGTCTGTGGTTTTGTTTTAAAAACAACCAGTTTGTTGGATTTGTGGCTGGGAGGTAAACACAAACTTGAATCTTCTTCATGACCAGAGATGAAATTTCAAAATGAACCTTTTTAAAATTATCTAACTGTGTGTAGATTGGAAACCTGCTGACCTGGATGCCTTCTCTCATGGAATTAATTGCATTGTTGTAGGTGTTATAGGAAGCCACAGAAGCTCCAGGTCAATATTGTCACATTCCTTTGTTGAAAATGAGAACAGATGCTTTCTTTTTTATTTACAAATCACTGATTTTTTTTTTTTATTCTGAATTTCAAGAGATCAGAGTTCCCTTCAGAATGGAGGCACAAATAATGTGTCATTTTGATATATCTGAAAGACTCCCTTGCTAAACAGAGGAAAATCAAGCTGAAATATCGGTCTGAAACAGCCTGTATGAAGGATTTTTTTTTTTTTTTACAAAGCTGTATTTTTTATAAGTGTTCAAGATGGGAATCATTTCAATCAAAAAGACAGAAAGCAGCTATGAACAAAAAGGTATCATATTTTCCAATATAGAAGTAACTTCACTTTTCTCCATTTTCTATTTTTTATGAAATAACATCCTAACCTATTGTTTAAAAAAAGAATGTAGAATTGCTGCAGCAAGATCAATAGCACCTGCCAGGTATATATTTTAAGTATATTTGTTCTAACTTCAGGTCTGGTATTTCTGAAGGACCCTTGATTGACTTAAGAGTATTATGAAAGGAGCTGACTGTGCAAACAACTGCAACTAATCTCATAATAGTGGAATACCAGTTTACTGACAGTGTATGAAATTCTACATATTGCAGAAGAGGCTCTGACAAGAAAATATTCTAAAGCATGATGAGCTGTCAAATATCTTACTGAAATATCTTCTTTTTTAAGGAGAAGGTAAAGGAATTTGTGGTTTCTTGGTTTTTGGGGTTTTTTGGTGTTT